AATAGTAAATTTATACGTTTTACCAGTATATCATAGTACTTTTTCATTATTATTTGTATTACTCTCATAAATACCAATGCTCTAATATTTTTGAACATGTAAATGTGAATGTAAGCTATCTATCAAATTATCTTGACTTAGTGGTAGATTCTTGATCATAATGGGTAGAATTCAAGTAAATAACATAGTATTTATCTATATATGGAACATCATCCATCATGCCCTTGATTTTCTGTAAGTTCCAAATTCTGAATTGATCTTTCAGGAGCTTAGATGTATATATAAAGCAATCTTTCAAACTCACCGTTGACTCGCCTTTTTCTTTAATCGGTTAAACGGCATTGATGAAATTGCTTTCTTCTGCATGTCATGAGCACTGCCGCAACCTAAAATTTCGCACGTTCCCATGCCATTCAAATGAACTTCAAAGTCTCACTACCAAAAGCGCGATAATTAACAAACATCTTGGATTTTAAATGACAGTAGCGAAAACACAAACGCTTCAGAATGCAGATATACAACGTCGACATCGCGGATGGAGCGAGTCAAGAAACTTGAATTCGTCTTTCAGAAGTATGTTTGACTCAGTCGCATCTGTGAATAGCGACACCGAAACGATATTTAGCTCTCCTTCAGATTCTGAATTGTTGGACCGAGCTCGTGCAAATTATTCTAGCGTCGATTTTGGCGCTCTTTCAGCTTGTCCGGAACAGGACGGATCATGGAGTTGCAAGGAAGTTACTGATCAATTCGTCGTACTCAAGCGTCCATCGTCGGCTAAGGCAAATAGTGTTAGTCATTCCTGGCCTAGAAGTCTTATGTGCCGGTCGTCTTGATGCCAGTTTAGAAGAGGTAGCGAGTATTCTTCGCACAAACTCAGACGTTGAGCTTGAAAGCTCAATGCAAGGACTTTACGCAAAATCTTTCATTTTTGGATCTTTGGATCGTGATGTACCATGTTCTAATGAGCAACAAAACGATGATGACTTTAATCCAGATACCAACGAACAATTAAGTGTCAAGACTTGCAGTTTTCTTCGCACTACGCTCTTATCACGGAATGAACAGTGGTGTTTTACAGAATTTTTTCAAAGAAAGGAAACGCGAGATGGATTTACCATCTCACAGCGTGCACTTCCG